AATCAAGTAAATAAATGCTCAGTGTGAGGATTTAATTGCAACAATAGTACCACAGTACAGCCTTCCTCTCTTATATGTCCATATATATATATATTCCTTCACATTTTCACCATACATTCCTTTTTTTAATTTGATTTTCCTTCTCTGTCAGAATTTGCAAATGTTCCCTCAAGTACGCACTCCAGGTTGCCCAACCTGGGAAGAAAGAGTGAGAGAAAGAGGAAGGTATTTGGGCTTTTTACATCAATTTGTTTGATAATAGATGTTATTTGAACAAAGAAGAGATGACCTAAAAGCTGACTAATTAATGCAGAGCTCAGATGCATAGCAATATTCTGGTATCTGAAGTAAAAGGATTTATTCAAGCAATGTTACTTATTACATATAGTGCACATGAACAGACACACTCATTCCCACAACCCATCCAGATAACAATAGCCTGCAGCACAAGAGTATATCCTGCATGCTGAAAAATAAATGCCCAGTCACAGCACTGATTGTCCTCCAGTTACCAAGTTGAAGAGATGGCATCGTTCAAAAGAGTGATTGGTTCAACTCTGACAAACTGCACAGAAACAACAAAAGCAACTTACCAGCAAAGACACCCTTCAGTGGAGGGTACAGGGCCCTTCACAGTAGCTGTACATTCCCTATTAGAGGAAGTATTTGTGCAAGACTTCCATATTAGAGCACTAAATAGAAGATGTAATAAAATACCCATCTCTATCACAGGAAAGAGTTTCATCATCCTGAATCATGAAGCAAATCAGAGAGTAGTAGCCTCTTGCTAATACTTCTTCCATGCAGGTATTACAAGGGTGACTTTTTTGTCTTCCCATTTATTTTTCTTTAAAAAAAAAAAAAAAAAAAAAAAAAGAAAAGAAAAAGAAAAGGTGACCTTTTAGCAACACTGAACAGTAAACAGTATTTCTAATAAACCCTTGTTGCAATACAGCCAGATGGCAGCCTGCTTCTTCATTGTTATTTCCTCACAAAAATTGCTGCACATCAGTTTCATCGTCCAGCACTTTGGACACTTATTCCTGCCCCTCCAGGAACATCGCTCCCAGGCAGCTTTTTGAAGTTGTAATCAAACAAGAGAAGGCTCTCGAAGTAAGTTTACTGTGCCCGCAGCTTGTTTCAATTCATGGGACCTAGCCTTTCCAAGGTACTGTCTAAGGCTTGCCTTTCACAGGCCATCACTTATCAGTGGTAGCTCTTCCAATACTCTATTTGGGACGTAAAATTGGGCAAGACTGATTCACAGCTTTCTTGCTATTCCAATTACACCACTGGTGCACCAGGTCTCTGATGCTAACATGTATCTGTTAACGACTTAATTTGTAGTTTTGCTAGAAAAACAGCCATACTCCAAGAAGTCAGAAAAACAGCAGTAGGGATTACAGAACCAGAGAGTGGCATCTCCACATAATTAACCTCAATAGAGATAATTTTGTCCCTCACTACTTTCACATCCATAAGAGACTAAAGCATCACCAATAGACAGGAACACGTCAAAGGGAGTTTCAGGCGTTAATCTATTGCTAGCAAAAATTATTGACCCAGTGTGAAATACTGGTGCTTATCTCTATGGGAGCCAGCAAATTAATCTTTCACAATAGCCTGACAACTATGGGAAATGCACTGTGTATGCAAAAGCATGGCATGCGAACATCCCTTTCAATCACAGAGCTTAAAACAAAGCTGTATGTCAGACTTCACTAACACCATCCCAGACAACAATTATTTCCACATTTCATATCTTATTCTACAAAAGCTCTTAAAAGATACGGTCACCCCTCCCTACTCATACATCTTCTCTCTCTGGCAGACTAAAAGAACTACTACAAATAAACAACCACTAGGGCAAAGTCCTGCAAGGAAAAAGACTTGAAGTGCTGAAGGAAGCACCGATAACTCCTCCAGCAACCTAACAAAAAGGATACAGAGGTTATTTTTCCCTCATGTTCACCCTCAACAAGCCAAACAATAAACCACATCATGAACACCTCAAGCACTGCTTCTCCTTGCCTTCTGCCCCTCCATCCTTCCTGAACCTCAGTCAGCCACTCAGACAGCAGCAAATGTTTTGGACTATGCACACAGAAATGCAAAAAAAAGGAAGAAAGGCTGCAGGAGCAGCCCGCTTTCAGTGTCCAGACAATCTGCTTTAGCCACATTACGGAGACCAAACTGCCAGAAGCCTGCAAGAGCTGCTGCCTACTCCACAGTGCTTAACCTTCTGCTCCCCTCCAGCACAAGAGAAAAAGAGAAAAATCCTGGGACTTTCCAAGATTGTTGCTTACTTTCCACATGCATACCTCAGCGGTGTCACGAGACCTTAAATCCAGGTACACCATTTTAAAGTGCTAGGTTTCAGTGCTGTAAATTTACTAAAGGATAGAAAAGTACCACAAACAAAAGAGAGCAGTGGAAGAGGTTGTCCAATTCAACGAGCTCAACATACTTAGGTTATACCACAGTAATTGAGTGTATATAACAAATAAACACAAGGTGAGTCAGGTCAAACACACACATGTAAACACTTAGCTTACCCCAATTACAAAGTCAAACACTAATATAAACCCTTTGTGGTGTCCACACCGTCTACTCCCAAACTGACATCATCTGCACATTTTGTAAGCAGACTCCACTCCACCATCTAAATCACGGATGCCATTATTGACAAATCCAGGCACAGCGAGCTAGTAAGGGAACCTACTTCAAATGCCTTTCCAGGTGATCCTGAATCCCTATTAACTGCTCCACTGATCCATTTTTAATACTGCAGTACGGTGATTTAAGTAAGAGCCCATTTTAAAAAAAAAAAAAAAAAAAAAAAAAAACAACAAAAAGCACTACATGTATTACACTCAAAAGAACATCCTTCAAAACCTTATACACTCCAAGTTGTATCACTTCTACCCCTTCCCTCTCTTATGCAGTAATCCAGTTCATCTGTCAAGGAAGCAAACTAATTATCTTCATGTGATTTTTTCCCTGACAAATTCATGTTGGTTGGCTGTCTTCCCTTATCTCATTATCTTCTATGTGTTTATAAACTGCACCTTGACTTCTACTATTATCCATGTAGCTGCAGGTAAGTCATGTCACAGCTGGAAAGAAACTCAACACGGCCCCACAGAAAGCCCGACCGAATCAAATGTAGCAGGCTCAGGTCTGAAAGTTATATAACTACAGCAGCACTAAACCCAAGCTAATAAGCTCTGCCAGTTTTTGCATGTCCTTGGAACTGGAAGAACAGGATGCATAAAGTGCCAAGGAAGTATTTCCTACATAAGTATCAGAACAGCAGATCATGACACTAATAAGACAGTCTTCACAGATTCACAAAACAGTCTGCCTGAAACTAACTGCTTTTACTAAGTAAAGAGAGACACTAATGACAGAGGAGATGAGCCTTTAATAATTTTTTTATTCTTCATTAAGTAGAAAGTATTTTTAAAAAAATAAAATCTAAACACAATAGGATGAAGGGAACAAGGTATTTTCTATGAATGTAACAAGATGCGTATTTCTATCAGAACCAACTGTGGACAGATTTTTTTTTCATTAATGAATAAAACATTGGAGACTAAAGAAGCAGTCTAGAAGCAGAGCTAGAATGAAAGCATTGATGTTGAAATGCAGGATTTCATATGGAAGGATGTGTTTTGGGGTTTTTGTCTTTCTGTGTGCTTTTGTTACATTAGAAATGATACCTCCTCTTGAACATTTTACAACTCTCAGATTTATACTAGATAAGATAAAGATGATGAGAAGATACGAATAACTAAAGCTCTCTGTAAGAAATGGCACCACTTACAAAAACAGTCGTTAAGCTCTACACACTTCAAAGAGAGTGACGCCAACTAGCATCTCCTTGTACTAATGGGTCTTTTACCACTGGGTCACCTCTTCGCTTTCTGTGTCTGTGGTGCTGCAGAACTTTTTCCACCGTGGTTTTTTTTTCCTTTTTGTTCCAAAATGGTCTGTATGTTAATGGATGTCCTAGCAAAGCTTGGACATTACTCCTCAGCAGCCATACCACACATATCTATGCTTTTAAAGAAAGGTAACAAAGATTAGAAATCATTTTCAGTAACCAAACAAGTTTAATGGATTTTAACTCAACTGCTCCTATGGAAATTCACTTCTTTGCTTAGGAGCACTTCGACATGCCTACCTCTTCCCCCACCTGCTTCATCAAATTTTGCTTGCTCCATTCATTTTCATCAGCAAAACAAAGCATTACTGAATTTGATAGTTATATGAGCTTTTTTGACTCCACTACCTAAGAAGAAATCTATCCGGTGATAAATCCACTTAATCCTCTTTAGCTTTACAAAAAATGTGAAAGTAAACTAGATTGAATATTCTACTTGCAAGATCCTCTTGTAGGCCGTAATATTTGTAGCAGGACTATATAGCTATTGGGAAAAACACTCACAGCAAGCAGTCTACCCAGCTTGTACATAAGCTAAAGAAAATAGGATATAAAACTGAAATACAAGTTACTCGAGGCAAAAGTAGAGATAACATTGCCTTTGTGTGGATATAGACTGGACCTCTCCCAGCCTGTCATTCGACTGAAGAGCAAGACTATTTTTATCTCAAAGTAAAAATGAGAGACTTTAAAAACTCAAAAAATTAACACATATTATGATCTCATGTCTTACGATCATTCTCACCTTTTGGGTTTTTTTTAAACCTAGCAATTAAAACCTCCAAGTTTAATGCAGCTCAATTCTGAGCATGCATCGCACCATGCAACTTTCTGTGACCCACCCAGCTATTTCTAGAGCATCTACAAAGATAAACAAAGTCCTAAATTTTATTTGGGTAGAGGAATTTGAAACTGACTGTGTTCTGACAGTGCCTGAATTAACTCTGTGACAGGCAAATGAACTGCTTGACACAGAATTTAATAAAGAGTGTGCCAAATTACAAATCAAAAGGCAGTTTTTCTACAAAAGCTCTTAAGCATCCACATCACTAACCTCTACAGCATTCCCGGGATCAGGGCAAACAGCTTGAAGAAAACAGGGCCCATGCCTTTCCAAGGTTTCTCTTCAACATCAAAGCTGCTCTTTCACTAGGTAAAGTAAAAGGGGAAAAAAAAGTTAGAATATAAACGTGACAATAAAATCACAGAGCTTTCCCATTTTGAAGTGGAAGAGCAGTCACTCCTATGCCAACTAGACTTCCACAAACTTAAGAAATCTTTTAAATAGCTCCTGGAAAAGGAGATGTAGCAACCTAGAAATCGACACACAGCATTAAGCTTAAACAAGCACTGTCTTCCCAATTAAATAATACTCACTGAGAGCATATGAACTGCTAAAAGAGTTACTATAAAGTGCAAGCCCAGTAATTAATGCACTGACAGCCTGTGATCAGCAAAAGCATCCCTCTGAGGAGCTAAGTAATTTCTCATCATTACAGCAGGGGAATAAGAACTAAGCTGCATTGACCCCAACCCAGCCAAGCAACTGTGAAGCTACTGAATGCACCTAACTTTCCCTGGCCTCTCCCCTAGTTTTTCTGTCTCTTTTTTTTGGAGTTAAAAAATGCTTATCTTAGAATTTGCAAGTAAACACACACAAGCCAACAAGGGGCACCAAGTCTGAGCTCACTTCAGCATGACTCCATGAATCCATCACAACAAGATTCTCCAGCTAACCCAGGGCAGGTGGCAGAGGAAGCAAAAGCAGCACTATTCACTGTTGGACCTGGCAAACAGCTAAGTACCTTGGTGAAATGCTGAATCTTGGTTAATTGGCCATGAGATGGCAGATCATTATTTTACCTCTGATTCCCAGTCAGTCCCATTCAGCACTAGTAATTCAGGTGTTCCTACACTACGGTGCACTACACAGTACAGGCATATCCAAAGCAACTGGGAAAACTTTATAATACAACTCATATCATTTACTGGTTTATTATTTTGTACATTAAAAGGAGCAGGGGGGAAATGACACAGGTCAAAAAAAAGCAGCACAGTATCAGGTACCTTAGAAAGGCTTTGTGGGGGATGGCACTAATGCAATGAATGTGCTCAGAGAGATTTTGCAGCGCTTAATAACAATAAAACATTTAGTCACATTGCTGTATGCACTAAAAACTTGAGTAACTTGCTGGCAAGTGCAAGAGACGGCATTAACGGCTAAAGCAAAAAGTTATCTTCTAACTCCATCCTCCACAACCATAAAACCCTCTGCTACTCCTAGGACAGGGAAGGGAAGTAATAAAGTACACCGTTTGAGACTCTCGGGAGTTTTTAAACCACATTTATTTTGTTCTAAGACTAAGGGCCCTTGCCTGTTGAGTGAAGCCTGCTTTTAGAAAAAATACTATTTCTGAGCAACAAACTAGAACAACGGGACACGGGACAACAGGCTAATGAGTTCGATTTCCAGAGGGAACCATTCACCCAGGCACTTCAGGCACTCACCCCACTAGCACTCTCAACAGCATCTCTGCTACTTCAACTCACCTACCTCTCCTACCCCCATGCCACATGGCATCCACTTACAACTATTCTATCAGGAGATTAGCTCCAGCAACCCACCTGCTGTGGTCACCATAGCTAAAATAAACTAGCTAAACTCAGACCAGCAGATATCCTAGAATCCAGCCTGATGTGTATTGTTGCACCCATGCCCGTGATTTATGTGGTATCTTAGATGCTTCTTTGCCAGTGCAAAAGTCCAAGTTCATACCAGACCTGGGCGACATATCGCAGTCCCATGCTGCCACACAGAATCCTCAAGCCCAAAGAACCACCCTACAGTATCCTTGCCTTATTCAACATGATGTGCCCATGCAAAGTCTTCATCGTCCCTTCACTTTCATCTCATCATCATGCAAATGTTCACAGGGAAAAATAAGGAGTCAGCAATCAGTACCAAATACTGCATGTGTGCACAGCATGTAAAACAGTAGAAACTGGACTGCAAAACTCAGAAATGCAAGGAGTGAGCACTTTTAATCTTACCTCTACAGAAGCAAGTCTTTAAACTAAGAGGATAAACAAATGATTTGTTTGTCATAGGAACAGTTACTGGGACTAGCTTGGCAGTAAACATGAACACAAACAGGGATTTGTAGCTTCTGCTACTTTCAACTGCATTTCACTCTGTTAAGAACTTCATTATATCACCAACAACTTCTCAGGTTCAAAACAATAGATTTTTATTTTTAAATACAGACAACAGAAGACTCGGGTATTGGCTCTGTGATAACTAACAGAAGGATTTTGCTTCCACTAAAAGTAATTAAAGAATTACTTTCATTGAGTTAGGCTAAAGGTGTTATTAAATTAGTGTTGTTGAAATTATAAAGTTAAGCAAGCCTTTTTTGATCATATATTAGGCATATGGTTGGGCATTGTGGGGAGTTGGGCAAGCAATAGGATGGGGGGGTGGTCTGTGGTTAGGTATCAGGTAAAGGGGCACCTGGATGGGAGGGGTCGGGGAAGAATGGAAGCCAGCAGAGAAGGAAGCAAAGAACTGATGAAGAGGAACCTGGACTTCGCTGCCCCTCCCAAGCCCCCCGGAGGGCCATGGAAAAGTACTGAGAGAGAGAGAGAGAGACAGCCTCGGAGAAACAAAGAAAAAGGAGCTGCGCAGGTGTAAAGAGGAGAAAACCCGCCATTTTCACTTAACCGATGAAATCTCCTGGTTGCTCTATGACAAGAAGGCCCTGCTGGGGCGGGGCGCGCCATCGCGTCCAGCGCTGTAGTCTTTGCCTCACTGACTTTGTCCCTGAATAAAACATGTTTTTGATATACGTGAGCTTGTTTCTCACAGGCTCCAAATCAGATCAGACTGCAATTAAGCCAAACTTAATTAACACTTACTATATTTGCAAAGCTCAAATGACCAGTTACACTACAAGTACTCAAAACCCACAAGCTTACTTGAGCAGAAATCAAAGGGCAGTATCAGCACCTTCTTCAGCTAAAACTGCAAAAAACACCATTAGGAAGTGAAACCCTGAAGACAGCTTGAAACCCTTTCATATGTGTTACTTGGTCTAACAGAAACTAGGTGCAGTAAAAAGAATGAATGTTGTGGGAGCACCAAGGAACCATGTCTCTAACCAGGTCTTTTGGGACCCGAACCATCTAGTTTATCTATATTCCCACAGTGTACTTGGAATGACTTGCCCCCTGGTCTTGGTTCCCTTCCATTTATCCTACTTCCCTATTTTAAGTTTGTTAGGGTCACAATCGCTTCAGAAATACTTTATCAAAAGCATCTGCACAAAATGAGTTGTTTTGACTTGCAGTCTCAAAATCAATTAACACAAAGGGGCAGGAGGTGCTGTTTAAGCATAGTTAACGAGAACTAAATGCCTTCCCCGGTGCCAAAAATAATCCACTACTATTTTACTTACATCAACCAATCTTCAGTATGCCCAAACTTAAATTCTCCCTGCGATCATCAGCTGAGTTACCAAAAGCAGCTGCAAAGCCAACAGCACACCCTATTTATAACTATACCAATGAGAAAAAGGAAGATGTTTTCAACCTTGAATATCCCAAAAGACTGACATCCTCCAAAGAAACATAACTGACCTAAGTAACAAAGTAGCTTAGTTTTGATCCCACTGTCACAAACAGCAAAGCTCAGGAAGCACCTGAGACAGGTCAAGTGACATCGGTCTCCTCGCATCCCCCCCCCCAACCTAGCAAAGGCTCAGAAGCATCCCAAGCAGAAATGGCAGTTCGCGTACATCCTCCAACTATGCTACACTTGGACAAAAATCCTGCTGCAAGTTCTGAGAAAGGAGAATGGTTTCTGGTGAGTGCCAAAGGGGCAGCACAGCTTGGCTACCTCCCGCTTAACCAAGTCTCCACTGCAAAGGAGAAATGCCTCTGGGAAATACACTGGCATGTTAAATGCTGAAAACCAAACCTTTTCTGTTCAAGCTTGAGGAAAGGATTTATGTTCTCCAAACAATCAAGACTCAAATTTACCTTTCTTAGAATATTTCTGAGGGCATTCATCCTCTCTCCATCTGAACTAGGCTCCTGACCCTCCACAGGGACAACAGACCTCCTGGTGGCACGCAGGCACATAGGGGACTCCATGGCTGCACTGCCTACAGGCCTCCTGTCCCACCTTTGTCCACTGGAAGGGTGCAGAAAGAAATATAAGTTCACCCTGAATTAGACTGCACCTTTCCAGGCACACAGTGAGAAGACAGGCAGCACCCTGCTCTCTGGCTAATGGCTTTCCCACTTGCAGATCCCACGCTATCCAGAAGCTGCTGAAACTCATAATGGAAGAGAAGCATAGCAAAGAACCAAACTACCCATTTCATATTAGGTGTCCTCACGACCACTTCCAAAGCGTATCAAGTGGCAATTACCTGGTGATAAAGTAAATAACGAGTAACAAATATAACAAAGTTGCCATGTTCCCACTTGCTGTACAAAATAAATACCTTCAAGAATTCTCATCCACCAGAATACATCTGTGCTGATGTACGTACAGGCAGCATGTGATTCAGCAGACGCCAGCACAACTCAGCAGCCATGCTGCCCGCTCCCAGCTCTGAGTCACTTCATTTTCGTAACCCATCACTGAACTCTGGCAGCAGCTACATCTATTATTTTCCAGAAATCAAGTGTCATTCAGAAAACAAGTTGCAGTCACCAAAAACACCCCCACCCATGGCTTACATAAAGCTCCCTGCTGCACTCAAGGGCTTCCTTTGGTTCGGAGGTAGAACATGTAATTTGCAACTATTTTTTCAAAACATAATATTAGGGTGGCCAGCTTGAGCATGACCAATAAAAACATAAGAGACACTGTTACCATCAAGTGTAACAGACATTTTCTTTTCCAGACTGTCCCAAACTACAGGCATTTTTTGAAGAGTTTATTTATGTAGTTTGTATAACTACATAATAAAAAATATTTTTCCATCAGATAAATAAAAGATTTTTTTTAATCTGCAGAATATGTTTCATCAGCATATATTTTATAATAAATGGACTTTATTATTATAAACAACTTTTTGTTAAGAGAAAGGATAGTCAACTGAACTTTGACTACTGCTTATCCAAACATTCTTCTTCAGAAT